GGGAGGATGTGGCATCTCCTGCTGCTACGTGCCCCTGGATCTGCACATGGGGCAGGATGATCTGCAGCTTCGAGCTGGGGCTGGGGCTGGAGCTTAGCCAAGCTGTTCCTGGGGTTGGTGGGGGGAGGGGTTGGGCCATGCTGCATTTGGGGCTGATGGCAGTAGCACTGTGAGGAGGGATTGGGGGGACTACAGCAAATTTTGGGGTGGCTGCAGCTCCCCCCCATAGCCTTCCTCCCAGCGCTGCTGCTGCCCACCCTAAGCACAGCCTGGCTCAGGCCCACCCTGCCAGGAAGAACCCAGCACAGCCCTGGCCCTAGCCCACAGCCGCAGCCCACCCCATTGGACATGCAGATCCAGGGGCACACACCCCACCCCCTGTGCCTTCCCAGGGTGCATGTAGCAAGCAGGAGCTGCGTCCCCAGGACAAGCCACTTGAAGGTCAGTCCCACACCCTGCCCCAGCTGTGCAGTGCCTGCCTCAGCCCCACTCCTTCTCTCATTGCTGCGTGTGTGCCCCTTTCCACCCCTGCTATGGCCACCAGAAGCCCAAGAGTGGGCTGCCTTGCAGCCCTAGCACTGCCCCACGTTTTGGATGGATAAGCTCCGCACCCCCCCCACCCCCTTCACTGCCTATGAGCTTAACCCCACCAGCTAAAAGCCTGTCCATATAAAAATATTTTACACCAGTTTCAAAAGATGGACAGGCTTGGGCTCTGGTTAGCCCCCAGATAGCTCCAAAATTAAGGAGCAACAACATGTGCCACATGTTTTGGCTAAATGAACAGGTAGTATTTGCAGAGGGTTGTTTTCTGCTGACCATAGCAATTGTGATGGAGGATAAGGGAGGAGACAGTTCTTATGTACATAGAACCTAGGCCATTGTTACAAAAAAAAAATCTTTAAAAAAACTTTTTAAATAATGCGTCCATAAGAGTATTCAACCAATAAATTCAGATAAATTCATAACTTACGTTATTCTTAAAACAAATTATTTCCTATATAGACTTACCTAAAGCCAGAAGTTATCTAAAGGGGAGTTTTAGCTAAACTACTACAGATTTCCCCATCTCCTTTAAATTGGTTTTAAAACAGTTTGTTATGTCTGTAAGAAAGTAATTTAAACTGAATTACTGTAAACCACTTCTTGAAACTAATTAAGGCACATCTACCCCACCTCATATCTCCTCTACAAAGCTATGTAGTACAGGAAGCCATGCCTCCTCCCACAAGCTACTGCCTGAAAGAGATGTGCAGCACTGGACTTGTGCTAATACATCCATTCTCTTTTGAAGAGCTTACTGGTACACACCTAGAACTGTGCTGAAGTGGCTACCTGCATCCAATTCTGGACATAACATATGCAGTGTGCGCCTCATTCTGGCAGTCCCCTGCATCCTCTTCAGGTGATGTAGACATGTCCCGGGCTAATCTTCATGGGATTCCCACTAATTTGTTAAATCAGAGATTGTTTATACTTGGAATTCTTCCAGGAAAGCTATTCAGAAAAAGATGCTCCAGAGTAACTGTTCCTATTGTCATATATGGATGTTCTTATTCCAGAATAAGAATGTCTATAAATGGAATTGTTCCAGAATAACTATTCTGAATTAAATTCAATTTACCTTATTCCAGAACACCCTTTAGGGCCAGGTACAGACATTACACTTTTACTTGTATAAGTGATCAGAAATCAGTCTATACCCAAAACAGAAGTTCAGTACACAAAACCAGTCTATATGTGTAACAGAACAGAAGTTCAGCACACATAGACTGGTTAAAAAATGGTGAAACCTAGTATAAGATTTCCTCCCCACCCTCCACCAAAGGGTGAATATGTTCTGTTTGCTACTGATCTAAACTTCACCGCTTACAGAAAACCACATAACTTAGATCAATACTCCATTGGGCTTTTTGAATATCTGTACCTAGCCTATGTAGACAGGCCTTTAGGCTATATTAGGATTTTAGGATGTATAGATACCATGTGTTTAAAGATTTTTTTTAGACATGGCCTGAAAGACTAGAGGGAACTATATTAGAAAAAGCAACTAACAGAATGGCTTTAACAGAACTTTTTACATACTAAAAATTACTTTGGTGTTTGCGAAAGCAGGGACTAAAGTTTCAACTTTCAAATTGTGAAATTAATGGTTAAGTTACACAGATTTCTTGTTTTATTGTCACCCACACAAAATAAAGGAGAATATGGCACAAACCTTCTACTAGCTGATGCCTTAAAGTTCAAACCTGCATGGCAGTACAAATGTGAGAGAAAGCCAAAATAAAGTAAGAAAGAATGCCTCAGGGCTAACATACCTCACAGAAACTTTGGCAGTGGTTTTTCTTCAAATCCCAAGATTCTTTGCAAGGCTCCAGGCACTAGGAAGAATCATAAAAAAAGGCATCAGAAAGAAAAGTAACATTCATAAATGACTCTATCCCATTATTATTGGTTTGTTTGGCACATAGGAAACTGGACTACAGCAACAATGCTAAAAAATAATAGGCTTCTAAAAAAAACACTTCTCCTGAGGACAACATTGTGTCATAATTGCTGAGCAAGGTCATTTTGAACGATTATTAGATTACAGGAAATGTTTTCAATATTTCTCACTGGGCTAAGCAGTGTCTCGCTTATGTCTATAATATTGCATTGACCATTTGGTTGGATCTGAGTATTAATAAACATTACCATCACAACACTGGATTATTCCATAGATCTCAGAGACAATGGTTATTGACAAAAGCACTCTTGCAAATTACAGAAAACCATGCATTGTTCCCCTCTGCTAAGTCTAAACATGAGGTTGTTACGATTTCTTCTAGCCTAGGAGGAAAAGCACGCATATTTTCTAAGGCTAAAAAGAAGGAGTAGCAGAAGAACTTTATCAATCATGCTTGTGTTTTCTTCTATGAAGGGCAATAGCATTGGTCTTGTAGCAGCTGTCTATGAGGTCTACCCCTCCCTGTTTGAATACCAAATCACTGCTTCCTCGCCTTTGAACTCTACAGTGTAGAGATGAGGAAGGGGCACAGAAGAGCATTTCTACTGAAGAAGAAACAAAAAGAACTTAGCAACATGGTTTAGGAGACAAGCTCCTACCAGTCCCTTTGAGAGTGGCAGCTCACTCTAAGAGGAGAACTGCTGACGGAATCAGTGAGCTGTGCTGCCTGGCTGCTGAAGGATGAGTCTCTAGGGCCCACAACCCCAATGCAAACACTCCTGGCAAGCTGCCTAACACTCAGGAACCAATGTTTTGAATACTATATCTACACAGTCATTAAACTCCGAACAAGAAAATTACACAAAGCCAAACATAATACTTATATTTTTTGAGGCAAGAAATTCTTCTTTTAGTCTGACAAATGCAGAATTGAGGCACAGAGATTAAGGTTGCATGAGAAGTCCTTGAAAAAGATGAGCATTTAGTGTAGCTCTCTTTCATTTCAGTCCAGAGCTTAACTACAAAGCCATCCTTGAAGTCTTCTCCTTTGTTTGTATGAGGGTTAAACTCTCACCACCTGAATGGCAATGCTGAGGGATGCATCTCAAGAAGGAGAATATTGCATATGTATTTCCCCCCTATTAGCCACTCCTGTGGGTTTTTCCATAAATAGGGTAGTGGATTCCAGACTAACACAGGTTTGGTCAATTTCTAGTAGCACATTCTACGTTCCATTCCTATTAACATTACATTTACTTTTTTGAAATGCATTTCATTTATTATATTTAAGAATCCACATTTTAAATACTCCTTGCAACAAATGTGGATTAAAGCAAGTCTGTTGATGAATGCACGTAAATAAACAGTTTGTTTTTGCAGTGCTCTGCAAAGCAGCTCTGGAGTCTCAAGGGATGCAAATTTCTCTCCCCACCATCCATCTTACCTGAGCATAATCCATTGGATGAGACCAAACACTAACCTGAATATTTGCCTGTAAATATAGGATGTCTGCATATGAAAGTCTTGCAAAGATCAAGTACTAGATCAATAATGTCTAACAAGATATTATAAGATGCTACATATTCAGAATTTAAATAACAAAAAACCTGCAGCTAGTTGCAGACAACATTTGCTTTTCATCCAAGTCCTTAGGGAATACTTGAAAAAAATTGTGTGCATCTTGAAACTAAAAATCTGGATAACACATTTTCAGAATTGTGCTGAAACAAAAAGAGCCCAATCCAAAGCTCTCTAAAGTCAATAGAAGTGTTTCCATTGAGCTCCTGGACTTCAGAATAGTCCTTATGCTAGAGAAGTGAGTATACAATTTTATTTCCTTTTTTGCCTATACAAGAACTCCAAATACATACCTAAAACACTCAGGACAAAAGTATTCCTACACAGAATATCCCTGTTTTCTAAGTTATTGTAAATGCCTGCCTGTAAAGAACACTGAAAGTCTTCTCCCCAAGACAAATCAGAATTTATATTACAAAACAGTAGTTTTCGATTTTGTTTTCCATTATAGAAAGGCCTGAAGGCATTACCACCTCTTCCCAGAAACTGGGAGATGACAGATCTCCAATGAATAGCAAGGTTTTGCTGGAAATGATTCTGAAGATTAATTCAGTAGATGGCACTGTTCCCTTTGAGCCACTGCTATAACAGGTACCAAGTGTGGCGTTAGGAGAAACTGTACTCCTGGAAGAGGGTAGATCCTGGATGAGATATCAAATTGAGGTAATTGCAACTTGCTGTAGTCATAAAGAATGAAGGGAACTCTTCATAAAATGAGGGTCTTAACCCAGCTGGGTCTTAACCCTTGCATAATTCACTCTTAGATAACCACATTATACCTGTTAACATAAACTTCCAGTTAATTTAGCTGTAGAATGCCAGTTGCCATATTTCACCACAGAAAATCATCCTCTGAGTAGTAACTGAACTGACACCAGTATCTGATGGCCTTCAAAACGTAGTACATAAGTAAGGTTAAAAATTCTATTAATATAAATCATGTTAGTAATCACTCTATGTATAGTCAAAAACAACAACTTAAGCATCTCTAAGCTTAAGATGCATCTCTAAGCAAGAAGAATTATTGCTGCTTTAGTTGATTTTGCTTCCCTATTCTCTTTACTGTATTTTTAAATTTATTGCAGCAATTTTTTCTTTTTCCTGAAAGGATCTTCTCTGGTATGGATTTTTTGAAATGTAAATAAATAAATATGAAAAGTATGAGGTTAACACGTGGCCTTGAGTACTTACAATATTTAAGGAATGGATTTTCAAAGGTAGTCAGCCTCAGCTTATCTGTGAGAGTTGTACCTTTGACCTCAGAGGCAGGAGACCAAAGCCAACACAATAATTTGGAAAATCTGACTGTTTACAGACACTATACTTTTACTGGAATCAGTGATCACAAACTGGTGTCATAACAGAAGTTCAGCACACAAAACCTGTCTGTACCTATAACAGAACTGAAGTTTGGTTTAAAAATGGCAGAACCCAATCCAAGATTTGCTCCCCGCCACCAAAGGGCAAATATGTGTTCTGTTCACTACTTATCTAAACTATGCCCCTTACAGAAAACTGCATACCTTAGAATGATTCCACCTTGGGTTTTTTGTATGCCTGTACCTAGCCCTAATACATGTGTGTGCGTGTGCCATTTTATGCCATATTTTTGTTCCATGAAGCTGTTTAATGTCTCAGAGGGGTAACTGTGTAGTGTAGACAACAACAAGAATGTTATCCAAGAGTTGTAGCTTAAATATTGCCTTAGGGAAGCTGGAAACCTAGGCCACGTCCAGATGAGTACAGTCGTGTAGTACAGTCATATAAACACACAGGTGTTCTCCGAGCTGCATGGGAGCTGCATGGAGCTGCATGGGAGTAGTGTGGGGAGGGGGAAGGAGGGGAGGGTTGACCCCTGGATATCCAGTAGGGCTGCACGAAACAGCACTGTTTCGTTTTGACATCTGTTTCACCATTTCAAAGGGACAGTGTTTCGTTTTGTTGTTTCTTTTCATTTTGAAGCACTGTTCCGTTTCATTTCATCGAAACTGTTCTGCTGCTTCAACGCGTTTCGATGTTTCGCCCATAGGCTATAATGGGGCAACATGAAAATGCCTATAACTTTGTCATTTATTGCCTGATTCAGATGAAAATTCCAGGGATGGTAGCCTCTTCTGAATGCACAAAGCCTACCAAATTTCAAGAAGACAGGTGCAGGGGTTTCTGGGAAACTGCACCTCAAACTGCTAAAAGCAAGACTTGTGTCACTTGCCAGCAGCAGCAGCCTCCTATCATCCAGCTTGCAGATCTAGGGGCCTGCACCCCCAGGAGGGCTGTGGGGCTGTACCAGACTCCTCCCAGGGGTGTGGGACCCTGGATCTGTGCTCAGGATGACAGGAGGCTGCTGCTGCTGCCTGGGACCGGTGTTGGGGGCAGCCCACGCCCAGCACCAGGAAGACTGCAGCTGCCGCTGGCCCCAAACAGCAGCAGCAGCCACCTGTCATCCCAAGCGCAGATCCAGGGGTTTGCACCCCTGGGAGGAGTCCGGCATCACTAGAAGGGCAGGTTGAGCTCCATGGGTCTGACAGAGCTGCTCAGAGTGCAGCCCTGGCTCTCCCTGCCTGCTGCCACTGGGTTGCACTCTGAGCAGCTCCACCAGCCCCATGGAGCTCAGCCCAGCAGCAAGAGGTGGCGAGAGAGCCAGTGGCAGAGCCACTTGGAGCGCAGCCCTGGCAAGCAGAGCCCAGCAGTGGGAGGCTCCAGAGCCCCATGGAGCTGAGCCTGGCAGCAGGAGGTGGGGGAGATCCACTGGGCAGGGCTGCACTCGGAGCCAGGCCTGTGCTCCGAGCAGCTCCACCACTGGCTCTCCCTCTGCCTCCCCCCGCTGGGCTGAGCTCCGTGGGGCTGGTGGAGCCACTCGGAGTGCAGCCCTGGCTCCAAGTGCAGCTCTGGTGAGCACAGCCCAGTGGCTGGAGGCTCCACAGCCCCACGGATCTGAGCCTGGCAGCAGGAGGTGGTGGAGAGCCACTCACCAGAACTGCACTCAAAGCCAAGGCTGCACTCTGAGTGGCTCCACCACTGGTTCTCCCACCACCTCCTGTCACTGAGCTGAGCTCTGGCTCTGAGCACAGCCCTGGCCAGTGGCTCTCCCCCGCCTCCCGCCACCAGGCTCAGCTCTATGGGGCTACAGAGCCTCCAGCCGCTGGGCTGTGCTCACCAAGGCTTTGGTCCGAGTGGCTCCACCAGCCCCATGGAGCTCAGCCTGGCGGCAGGACAGCTAGTGGCAGAGCCACTTGGAGTGCAACCCTGGCTCTCAGCACAGCCCTGGACAGTGGCTCTCTCCTGCCTCCTGCTGCCAGGCTCAGTTCTGTGGTGATGGCGGAGCCACTTGGAGTGCAGCCCAGTGGCAGGAAGTGG